AAAGATTCATCTCCGTATTTAAAAAAGCCCAAGCAGTGACTTGTTGACTTACTAGTTTATGACAATTTATATTTCAGTCTGATTTGAATGTGGTAGAGAAGCTTCCAAGAATCTTAATGATGAACAACTCTGATTTGATCCATATGACCTTGAAACTCTTGTTAAACCTGTCATTCACCCTTCTTCTACGAGAGAGGATGGTACGTGTTGGATTCTTGCCCAAGCTTGTCAGTCTTTTAAGTGAGTACATAATGCTGATGTTTTATTCCTCCAGTATAGCCTTTTGTTAACCTCTGACCTTAAATATTGGTGATTGAATGAGTATGTTGTAATACAACACTTTTCATTATTTTGATTATTCAACTTTCAGATGAGCAGAGACATGAATCAGTTGTGCTGAAGGTTCTGTATCATCTCAGCATGGATGACAGGTGTAAGTCAATGTTCACCTACACAGACTGTGTTCCTATGGTAAGTACAGGTAGCGAAATAGTAAAATCTTAGTGATTATAGTTTCAAATAGAGTATACTAGTAGGTCATACCTGTAGTAGATTGTTTTTTGAGATGTACTGTAGCTAGCTTCAAATGAGACAAAATTTGATAACTATGCATTGTAGTTTTACAAGAATGTCACTGAAATAAATGTGGACTGTGATGCACATGAATTAATCATTACAATTATTTATTTATTTTGTAAATATGTCTTTTCTCTTCAGTGGAATAAAACCTTAAAATAAGCCATTGCCACTTCTGTGTTTTTGTTTCATTATTCACATAGCAGTTTATGAAGCAGGAGGAAACTACATAAATACCAATAAAAGAATATCTGGCAGTTTAACATCATTAGGTGTTCTTTTTGCTTTAGTGTAAGCAAAGAACACTTTGTTAGTTCATCCATGTCTCCCTGTTGCAACAGTGACCTCTTTTCTCATCACTTGGGCAGTGACCTCAGATTACATTGTGCATTTGTTACTACTTTGATTGCCCTGCTGATGTGATCACCTGTGATGCAGTGTAAGGAACACGTCATGAAATTTTAGTGTACTCCAAATAGTACACCTTTCCAGTCTCATCAGTTACACAGTGGTGCATTAGGTGCAGATCACTGTGTTACATTAACCTACGTTTATGCTACATTATAGATCGAGGATCATGAGCCCTTTTGTGTGGAAATTTGACATCAAGTTGTGATTGCTAAGTTTGTTAATTTATTCAGAAGGTTTATGGAATTTTACAGGCAATGAAGCTGCTGCTGGAAGGTTCAGAAGATGAGGTGAATCTGGAACTGGTAGCACTCTGTATCAATCTTGCAATCAACAAGCGCAATGCACAGATTATGGTCGAGAACAACAGATTGCGGTGTCTTATGGCTCGAGCTTTCTGTAACCAGGACTCTTTAATCATGAAGATGATTCGCAATATTGCCATGCATGATGGAACCAAACAGAATTTTATTGTAAGTTTAATATTCCATACAGTGATTTATTGGACCAATAATGTCTTGTATTTTGCTTGGTGAGATTTCAAGTTCTCATAATTTCACGTATGAAGGCGTTTGTCTTCTGGGTTGTTGGATCATGCAGTCTGGTAGAAGTTTAATGACATTTCAGGGGTGCTTTCTGCTTCCATCATCAGAACAATGAATAAGCCACACCCCCCTGTCATCTTGATTGAAGCGGCAAGCACCTCTGAAACGTTGGTAAACTTCTACCATACCACATGGCACAGTATTCCAGAAGACAGCCATTTTTGTTCTTACTACTACAAGAACATGGAATCTCACTTTAATCAGAAAATATTTCAGACAAATTATGTTGTTATTAACAAGATAAATACTGAATGTCATTAACTTTTTTATTTTGTACAAGATTACCAACCTTCTGTGTTATGTTTAAAAGCAGTTGGTACTCCATACTTTAAGGCGATATTCATAGGAAGGACTGAATATCTTGGAATGCTTATACAAAGGAGAGTTAATGTTAGAACAACCCCCCAAAATGTATTTATTCCCTGCTTTTCAGGAGTTTGTTGGTGACATAGCAAAGGCAATTGTGGATTGTCCAAATGAAGACTTTGTGGTAGAGTGCGTAGGTGTCCTGGGCAGCATGACTCTTCCAGACCTGGACTTCAGTCAGCTCATGCAGCGTTTTAACCTCATCCCGTGGATACAGAACATTCTTGTCCCTGGTAAGAGTTTGTGTAAAATACATGGTACATTAATATTCTTGGGTTTATAAACTCTTCAAATGAATCCCTCTTAAACTGTCACATGCAAGAAGATTTATTGTCTAGGAGTTGGGTGTTTTGCTGTCCTTAAATAATGGAATACTGCACTTACAAAATTTTGAATGGAATTAATGTCTGATATGGAATAGAGTATTTCTTGACAATGTGAGTCACACAGATATTCAGTAAATGCTCCATCTTTATGTAACTGGAAGGTTTGTTACCAGCTCACAAGAGTTACCACTGGTCCCTATCCTGAGCCACACCCTTTTTTTCTTCAGATTCAGTTTAATGTTGTTTTGCCAGCTATTCTGAGGCCTCCCAAGTAGTCTCATCCCTTCAGTTTTTAAGACTGAAATTTTGTATGCATGCTGCATGACTTGTTCATCTCACTCCCTTTATTTGATTACTCTCACAATATTTTATTAAAAGTACAAATTGTGAAGCTCATCATGGAAATTCCTTTCTTTCTAAAAATAATCTTCATCTTCTATGGCTCTCCGGTCCGTATTCGGTCCACGGCCTCCTCAATTCTCCTCTTCAATTCGGTCGAGGCTTTGATTGAGGTTTCGAAACATCTTCCTTTTTACGGTGCAAGGTTGTTAGCCTTGCGACCAACCCCCAACCTGGAGGACCAGGGTACCTGTCTTAGTCTGACCTCTCCCCCTCGACCAATCTGGCTAGGGAGGTCCTACCAGTAGCTATGCTACCACCAGCATAGCTCTTGGGATCACTGAGGTACTCAACCCCCACCACCACGACAAGGTGCAGGTACCATTAAGTGGGGTTCTAAAAATAATACTAAGGTTCATCTTAAATTCAGATAAGAAATAGGTGTATTCCAGTAAGGCCACAATTAATATGTTTCAGATCAAAGCAATACACATTAACAATGGTACTGACTAAGCTATGTGTGTACGTGAATATTACCAACAGCTAGCTAATTATTGTAATTGCTATCACTCAAGCTCTTGCATGCCTTCCATTAACTTCTTAGCATCCCAGTAGCATACCCCAGCTCTTGTATTGCCATAAATTGTATTTAATTGAGCACTATGCCATGAAGAAGTATGGCGCAGTGGAGGTATAGCTGTGTGCATTCTTAACCTCGGTACAGTTAAAGACGGGTGGTGAGACTCCGGCTCCTTTTTATGTAGAGAATAAGCCCTTAGAACCCATTGGATAAGAGGCTGAGTTCACCCCATAGCTGGTCTGTCTGAAGAGAAAAATTGTGACCCTTGCTGCCATCGTTGTGTTGTGTTCGAGTGGTTAACATTCTTGCTTCATATTCAGGAGGTCCTGGGTTCATATCTTGGCCTGGAGATGAGTTATCATGACTGAGGTTTTTCATGGTTTTCCTTAGCCCCTACAGGCAGATGCCAGGATAGTACCTTGAGTTAGGCCACAACCACTTTCTTCCAGACCCTTTCCAATTCATTATTTATTAATTATCCAACACTATGTATCCTGAGCTGCTGAGAGTATTGTTAATCACAATCTATCCCTGCTAGGAGTCAAACCTGGTCATCCGTTCTGTAGCCAGTCACTATACTGACTGAACTGTCTTGGCTATTCATTTCTAAAGGGTTCTGACAATGTTGTATTATATTTAGTATTACTGGATTTCTGGACTAAGTATATTAGTGTAGTATATACTGAGCCAATGTTATAGTGGTATTACGTGATTAGTCTACCATAAAGTTTTCTCTTTTTCTGGAGTGTGTTATAAGAAAAGTAAAATTTTTTCTTGATGGCTTATTTTATGGAACCATCAGTTACTCAGACTATATAGAACTGGGAGAAATGTTTGAAAATATTTTGAAGATAAACGTCTTTGTTCAGTACGATTGATTTTTCTGTATTTTAATATTTTGTCTTTTTATGCTTCTAATTTTGTTAGAAAATTTCTTTTTTGATGACGTAATGAGTAACAGACCAACAATTATGCATGTATAGATCTGTAAATAAACTATTTTTGTCTGACCTCTTTGTTTCAGGCAAATATGAGGATGACCTGGTTCTGGAAGTAGTGGTTCTGCTAGGAACAGCTGCTGCAGATGAGGGCTGTGCCATGCTCCTTTGCAAAGCGGACATCCTCCTGTCTCTCATTGAGCTCTTGAAAGGTAAATGAGACAGCCCTTCCAATTCAATTCATGCCCTCTGTCTCTGGGATGTTTCACTTGTGTGGCGTGTTGGTGGTAAATATGGCCCTTTTTATTCTATACCCTCATCTGTTGAGGACAATTCTTGTTCATTTCATACTTCCGTTGTAATGTATATATAAATTGTGTAAAACTGACTCTGAGTATAGAATCCTTCTTGAAAAGTTAGTAGCAAGTCTCTAAATGCTTTCCGTGACCCCAAAGATTCATTACTAAGTGTGATTTTGGTTTCTCACATTGGCAGGTATGAAGACTGTCTTATGAGAGGTTGTGCCATATACTGTAATAGAAGTTTACCAACATTTTAGAGGTACTTACTGCCTCCAGAGGCACAACATCCTGGAAGACGGTCATCATCATTCATTACCACGTTCACAGAAGCTCACGTTTTGGCTGTATTCTAAACAAGTTGAATCTTTTCTATACTCTCACATTCAATTTCTTTCATATGATTTTAATATTAGCCTCACATATATGCTTAAGTCTCCCAAGTGGCTTAATTCTAACTAAATTCTGTATGCATTTCTCATCTCGTTCAGTATAGAGACCAATGGCAGGCTCTTGTAAACACACTAATGAACCTTTAGGTTCCATAAGCTGCAGGGAATTTCTCGACTACATGAGCATGCTATTAGCTTGTCAAGGAGGCCTGTGTTTGATGGAGTAAGGTAGTTGGAAACATTTTCTCCAAATGGTTGGGTACCTGGCATCTGTACGAACAGTGAAATTTACTTTTAACGATGCGATATTTCTGAGGGTGTGGTAGTGAGGTGTAAATATCTGCTGGTGAGAACTTGTGATTACTAAATTCAAGTTTAATGTATTGTTTTTCTTTTGCAGCCAAGCAGGAAGATGATGAAATGGTTCTCCAGATCATATATGTGTTCTATATGATTTCTCGACATTCTACCACTAGAGATTATCTGATTAAGGAGACTGGTATCCTTAATTTGCTTCTAAAATAATCATATGAAGGATAAATGAATGAATTATATACTATTTCTTTCACTTACTTATCATTCCTTTATAATTTTTCTGTGTGAATGCAATTTCATTTATGAGTGCATGTTTAAGATAAAAGTTTGTGTCATTTGATTTAATGTCTGTAGGATGGTGGCATATTTGGAATACTACCTTGTTGGTTTCCAGTTAGATCTGAAACCATCCCAGAACTTTCCATAAGTGTGGAAATACATCAGGCAGTCTATTGTCTCGATGTCAGTTTTGCACCATTACATATAGAAAGTTGACACAAAGTGGCAGTGAAATTATTAGATAAACTTTCCCACTCTTACGTTCTCCTGTGTTTCCATGCCAGTATTTCAAATTTCAAAGTTTGTTGTAATGTTACATCTCTTCTATAAAACAATAGTGAAAGGAATTCATAAGTTTTTGTTTGGATGAAGGTTGTAAGTATCTTCTTCTTCTATGGCTCTCTGGTCCGTATTCTGTCTATGGCCTCCTCAATTCTCCTCTTCCATTCGGTCCGCTGTTAGGTCCGTCTGTCCGAGGCTTTGATTGAGGTTTCGAAACATCTTCCTTTTTATAGTCCAAGGTTGTTTGCCTTGCGACCAACCCCCAACCTGGAGGACCAGGGTACCTGTCTTAGTCTGACCTCTCCCCCTCGACCAATCTGGCTAGGGAGGCCCTACCAGTAGCTATGCTACTGCCAGCATAGCTCTTGGGAGGTTGTAAGTATATTAAAGTAAAAGTGTCATAAGAAAATTGTGAGTAGGATTATGCATGAAATTGCTGACTTGGTATACATTTTTGAAGCTTCAGTTTGTACAGATTTGAAGATATCTGTACAATTTAGTTGGCAGTAAGATTAGACAGGAATTTAAGTTGTAGTCTGTTCTGTTTTTCACACTATATGTTGCAGAACTGTTGTCATATGAACAGTTTTTGATTCGAATATGTAACATAACATATGAACTCTATGAACTCTACTCAGTTTTTGTAGTTGCCATTGTGTTCTATCACCCTGACAACTTTCAACCAGGAACATGAACATCATTCCAGTAAACACCAGCACTAATGTTTTTATGTGTATTAATCGTTAATTATATATTATTTGTATTATTTTTTGTGTGTTTTTGGGTCCCCAGTCTCATTCTTCCAATAAGGTCTGAACCTCGCTCATTGCGATTTTGCCGTTTGCAGGAATTTTCAAGAAGACAACGCCTGCAAATGGCGAGGGTGTGCTATATTTAGTATAATCATATGGCTCCTCTAAGAACTTTCCTTAACTTAGATCACAGAAGCTCCTGCATACCTAATTGACCTCATGCATGATAAGAACACTCAGATTCGGAAGATCTGCAATCGTTGCCTGGATATCATAGCTGTAAGTATATAATTTTTGTAACATTTAGTGAATACTTACCAAGTCAAGCCCTGATTAAATTATTTTTATTTTTGTCAGAATTTCTGTTGTTTTTTCTCTTCTTCTTCTTCAATTTTCCTCTATCTGTTTCAAAATACACAAAGTAGGTTAACTAAGCTTTAGTGCTTGTGGCACATTTCTGAGCTGCTTAATTTGAATCCAGACTAGAGTGTATCTAACCTCAGTAAACCCTTAAAATATGCTTCAAGTATTTCCTTACTGGCTCGCCATTTATACAGTAATTTATTATTCATAACCTTTGAATATTTATGTAAAGTACACTTTCATTGTATTCAGTATACTTACTAAATTATAACTGATATTGTACATTTCTGTTTCTTCTGCTGATAAGTACTTAGTAAACTTGGATCATTGCAAAGTGATGCAGAATGTTGTCTCATAATGGGATGAATGTATGAATGCACAGGACTGGAACAAGGAATGGGCAGACCGAATCAAGTTGGAGAAGTTTCGTTGGCATAACTCTCAATGGCTTGAAATGGTGGA